CTCTGTCGGCTCTCACACTCTTTCTACCAGATTCTCTCTCTTACTCAAGCGCATTCTATCTCATTCGCTTTTGATGTCGCTCTCGCTCTTACTCAGGCTCAGTCTGTCGCTCTCTTTCTCTTCCTTTTTCGCTAGTGTCTCTCTCTCTCTCGCTTGCCTTTGTCTCTCTCGTACACGCACTTCTCACAAATGAATCCTAGCGATGAATTTTTCCGCTTTGCTGCATATTTTACTTGATCATTTTAAAGCATTCGCTCATATCAAAAACCGAACAGAGAGGAAAAAAAACCATACACATACACACACAAGTAAACATTTAAATGCACAAACCAGTGAATGCATCCCATTTATCTACTGGCGCGTATTAAACGTAAACGAATAGTTTCCGCTTTTTCGCTACATTTTTTTCCCATTTAATGCCTCTCTCCTTCCAATGTCTCTCTGTGTTCATCTCTTGTCTTTTTTCTCATCCCGCGTTGTCTTGCTGGCTTTTGTTCGATATGCGAATTATTTTTTTTTATCCCACTGTTTGTCAAAAGCACATTTCAAGCGCGCTGGCGAACATTTCCGCTTTAAAATATTTTTCGGTTTTGTGAATTGCATTAGGATGATGGTGTTTGGTATCAGTTGTGTGTGTTCTCGTTTTTATCGGTAAATATTCGTCACATTAGCGCACCACTGAATGCGGAAAGAAGTGGAACACCATTTTTCTTTGTCTTGAAAATCGTACGAGAGAAAAAAACACATGCAAATGCGTAACATAGCGGTAGGAAGTGCGACGAACACATGACTCACACATACAAACATATACGAAGAAAAAAAGAACTAGGTAAAAAATGCCAGATATATGACAGAACACAAAATATATTCTGAATCTATGAACATTCCGATGGCAAATGGTGCAATAATTTACAATTTAGTGCTTAACTTTTGCTCTTTTAATTAATCCACAACGCCAGTTTTTCTGCTTCTCAAACAAAAACTTGCCTGTCCCAGTCAAACATTGAGAGCAAAAAAACAGCCAACAGTATTTGGCCAGAAAATGCACAAACCGAGATTGAACATTTTTCAACTATCCGACCGAACGGCGGTCATGCGGTAGGAGAATGAGACGTGGTGATATGGTGAAATGCTCAAAATTAGATGAATGTCATTCGATTTCAAACAATCAATAAACTTTCCCCCACACATTTCAATTGAGCATCGATTTCATTATGCCTTTGAAGTGCAATCGAATATATATATATATATATATATCGAAATCGACCATAAAATTGAGTTCGAGCACGAGGGCAGTAAGGGGGAGGCAGAGTGTTTCTAAAGCCAATAAAAGGGTATGAGCTTGTTGATATTTTCACTCATTCAAATCCGCCATATTATACTCCCGGTCCTTGCGTTCTATACAACGCTAGTGTATATACACTCATTACGTGTGTCAATTGCGCAATATATTTTCAATTGAAACGAAACCGAGCAGCAAAAGAGAACAAAACAAAAAAAAACAGAAACCAAATCAAACTAATCCACAAAAATCGAAATTAAATTTGAACATTTCGATTTCGTTCACCAATTGGATGAAATACTTTAATCGACCGTTGCCCTAGCGACGATGGACGAAAATAAGGCGGAAAATGAAGTGAACAAATCGTCGCACGAAACAAACACCAATATTTTTCAAGATTTCAATAGCCAACAGGCATTTTATTGATACACATCATATTGATTCGCTTTTTTCTCTGCACACTCGTCTTGGACATCCACACTAGACACCAACCAATTTTTAGTTGGAATTAAATGAAAATTTAAAAGTTTTTGGATGTATGAATAATATTCATTGAATAATAATTAATACATACGTAAGATAGATGTTTCAACTGAATTTCATAAATGTGGTGCGAATCGTAGCATAGAAATTTGTAAAACTACGAATCAGTACGAGTCTGCTACGATCAATTAACATATCAAAAATGTATGTACTCAATGAAAAAGTTTGGTTCAGTGATTTCATATGAAAGACTCGTTAAGATGTCGTGAAAGACTCGCAAGATTTCACACAGTTTCGCAAGACTCGTTCGCTGTTTATATTTTTTCTACTGACTTGTGATATTTGGGTTGACTCGCGTGTCACATAAGACCCTACACACAGAGAAGATTGGTTGAGATTTTTGGTACAATATGGATTTCTTTTTCTCGTAAAAATAATCCAAAATTAAGATATCTAAAACCAAATTTTGTCTGAAAAAAATAAATTTTCTCGTAAGATATCTAAATTTTGGATTATTTTTACGAGAAAAAGAAATCCATTGTACCAAAAATCTCAACCATTCTTCCCTGTGTGGATTAATTTTAAGAAAATTGAATAAGAACTTATGCTTATTAGTATGCTTCCTCCTTGCTCTTGAACCACATATTGATAAAATCAATGCCTGCTAAAAATTGACTTCTATACCTGTCAAAACGTTCGCAGCGCCGCAGTAGTTGTTTTTGTAATGTAAAATACATTCAAAAAAATTCAATAGAAAAAAATCATAACGAAAAATTTTCATTCCTTTTTGTGTGGATCTTCTTCGAATACAGTAACATACTTGAGCATAGCAGCGCCACTACAATCGCAAAACTAGCTATGTTGGATGCAGACAAATTGTTGTCGTATTTCCATACGATTAACAGAATGCTGTTACCCATTGGATAAAATAAATACGGTTTTTCAATGTATCGTATGAAAAAGTATGTGTCCAATGAGATTAGTCAGCATACGAAATCGTGTGCAACATTTCAAATGTGGCGTAAAATCTTTGATAAAACGGCGATCGTTAGCAAAAGTCGAGAAAAAATCGTCGATTAACTTTGCTAAACTAAATAAGTATTGATAAAATATGCGAAAAGCGTGCCACATGAGGAAACTTGTCGATTTTTCAATCCAAACAAAGCATAGTGATTACATTTGTATTTTATGTAATGTTTCGTTTTCAAACATTTCGAATGCATTTGTTTCAGTTTCCTCTGAAAGTAGCTGCAATTTTGATTGGTTCACATCAAGAACTGCGCCTTGAATGCCGTTAAAAAAAAATGTCCGAGACGAAATCAGTTGCAAAGGAAATATCATCGTCGATTTTGTGCAACGGTCATTTATTTACATTGTCCCGCTTGCTATGTCGTGCATTTGGTTTTGCTCCGGAAATAATGTACGATAATCGCAACGATGGTGCTGTAAATGTGCTGATAAAAGTGTAACTGAGTGTAACGCATGTGTGATGAAGCATCAATACTCGCGTCTAATCGAATAGGAAGCTCGCAGTAACACACTCCACCGAAGCGCAGAGGAAGCGGACGATTTTTCCCGATATGTTTCATTTGTGGAATCACATTCATGAGCAATCACATGAGCATATTTATTCATGGCGGTTTTTATTTCCCATTTCCTTTGTTCCAATCTCGCATACGTCGACTATCGATGATGCGCTGTTTCTATCGTGATTACTATTCAATTTGATTCTGTCGCGCGTTTGCCGCATTATCGATAAAAATAGTGTGTATGCCAGCCAATATTCAATGTAAAATTGAATTTTTCTATTAGTTTTGTCGAGGAATATGACTTTGAGACGGATAAAATCAGCGGTTGGGCGTTCATTTTCCATGTTTGCTTTATTCTCTCATAAAAATATATCACGCTTTCAAATCTTGTTAAAATTGACTTCCGCGTCAGAAACTCATCAGCAAAAGTTCACTGTTGGAATGTGAGCTGAACTTTAATGCAAGAAAATGCAAAAAACGGGGTTATTTCAGTGTGATTATCAACACTTTAATCAGATTTTCAATTATTTCAATTAATTTTCGAACTAAAAAAAGACCGTTGTAGAGGGTGAGCACATCCTGTTATGTGCATTTGACTAGAAATGGAATGTCAATATCAAATTAATTATACGTTCGATGACTTTTTAAACGCATGTCAAACACACAACAATGCATCGAACGAATGATGCTTTTTTTGCAGAATGAACCGACGGCTGCGGATGTCAATACATCGACACTTTGCGCGAACAAATTGTTGCAGAACGCTCGCTGATTAGTGATTAATTCAATCAATTGGTAGTGGACAGAGGAGTCATTGGAGTTAAACGCACATATACAATTTCTATCTCTTTCAATTTGATGTGTATTTTCTTGGTCGTCTCTTTCTGTTCTTGTGCGTTCATTGCATTTAGTACCTATGACTTGCACACTACAGAATAGCAATATCTTTCTCACTCTCTCTCTCAGTTTTATTTCTTTCGATGCATTTTCACTCTTTTTAAGTATTTTGGATTATTTCCCTCTCTGTCTCTTTCACTCTTACTCTTACTTCCCCTCTCAATTTCCCATTCTGCTCTTCGTTGCTTATTCCTGGACTTCATTTTATCCCTATTTAGGTTTCATATCATAATATTTTGTCGATGTCTTTGTCAATTTGTCATAAATCTACACAATTGCATAAGCAATGCTACGCTGTCTTTACCCAAACTTCTGTTGCAAGAACGAACACCTTATGAGCCAGGCAGAATGTCCAATGAGAGTAGCGTGATTTTTAATTGTGCGTGTGTGTGAGAGAGTATGCCTTCACTGAATGAAATCAATTTTCTTTGCCATTTCATTCCATCATTGATCCATTTCAATTTTGCAACAGTTTTTTGGGAATTTAATCTAGAAATATTCAGATAAAAATCGAAATAATGAAAATAGCTCCGAATCGAACAATTTAATAATTTATTAATCATGAATGAATAAGACTATTTAGTAAAAAAAAATTCTATTTGGAATTTTTAAAAATCTTTCTGATGGCGAACTCCGTTTCGAAATGTGGATTGAACACTTGAATTCCAGTCGGAATGACAGTTGAACATTTGGAATGAAGCGAATTAAATCGAATTGGAAGCTGTCACCTTCTTAGTAAGTAACACAGGCTCACCTATACTCAAACAGCGTTTGATCACGCCACACTCAATCGATGTACACAACACTCAATGCTACGCAACCACTTTGTGTCGGCCATTCAAAGCAGAAACACATAACAACACATACTAGTTCCCATCGACGAAAAAAACATAAAGTTAGTGCCCGAAATATATGTTTGCTATTTTCAAATCAGGGGTTTTCGATTAAAAAAAGTCTTCAGTCAAATATTGATTGAATTGTCATTAGAAATTGATTCACTTTCGAACACAGTTTCACGTTCAATAGAGTCGAAGTTCCATTTTTGTTGCACAAACATTTACATGCTGATTGGAAATATTTTGCACACCATTTTGCTTGACATTTCAATAAGCAGTGCATTTTAGTGAGACGACAACTGTGTGTTTTTCAGTCTGAATTTCAGTTGTTTTTATATTTCTAATGCACATTCAGTTCTACTAATGAAAAGAAATTCCGAACTGTCAAATCTCATTTTTTCTTCATATTTTCTTCGGTTGTTTGACAGATTGGCATTGGTTATGGATATGGATCCAGGCGAAGGTACTTCGGATGGTCGTGTAAAGCGTAGAACAAACAATATCAAAGTGGAAATAAAACAAGAGCCAGACATTAAGGAAGAACCATCAAATGGCAGTGAACTTGGTTTGACCACACGTTTGAGCGAAGGACTTGGAGCAGATACAACAGCTGCGACATTGAACATCGGATTGGTGGACGAATCCAAATCGGATTTTGATCCTGCATTTTATTTGAATGGTGTGAAAGAGGAGGTGAAGTGCAAAGGAGAGAAGCCAAGTAAAGGAAAAGATTCTTCACCAAATTCGGTGTCAAATGGAAATGATCCAAATGTTCGTGGCGATCAAGGTGATGAGCCAATGGTCCAATCAAACGCCAGTCGCACGAGACTCAACCCAAGTGGCAAAGGGAAAAAGCGCGACGGATCAAAAAAGCAAAACAAACGGAAGATACCGAGGAATAAGGTGGCGAAGAAACGAACGGAGCAAAAGTTTGCGGTTATGTTACATCGCATAAAGGGAATTTCGCCACACATATTCGTATTCACACTGGCGACAAGCAATTCGAATGCTCTGTTTGTTTCAAATCATTTGCACAGAAAAACTATTTGAATGTTCACTTGCGAACTCATGCCGATGATCTTCCTTATTCTTGTTTGAAATGTGGTCAACGATTTTCCAGCGGTGAGGCCAGACAATCACATGAAAAACGCTGCAAACATCGTCGATACGAATGTTATCTCTGCGGATACGAATGTTTTGCCAAATACGATCAGAACCGCCACATGCAAGCAAAACACACCGGCGAACATCGCTTCCAATGTGAAATATGCGGAAAGAAATGCATCCATAGAGGTGATCTCAATCAACATTTGGCCACCCATCGCGATCAATTCCCATTTCGTTGCATCAAGTGTCATCGAGGGTTCACAAAAGAAGAGGATAAAACAGCACATGAGAAGATCTGTGGCCGTCGTCAGTATCAATGTCACATTTGCGATGTTTTCAAGTCGAAAAAAACCAATCTACGATATCACATGCGAGCGCATCACACGGGTGAAAATCCGTTCCATTGCAAGTGGTGCAAAGCGCGTTTTTTACACAAAGGCAACGCCAACGCCCATATGAAACGGCGTCATCGTTTGATGAAATAAGGAGGTTTTGTAGTATTCTGCGATCATCTATCTATTTGAACCAGAACAATTGCCTGGGAAAAATAACAAACACCAATTGACTGCCTTCATTTCATGACCAATTCTAACTTTGATGAAAATATTCCAAAATAAAATGAATTTAATTCAAAACTAATAGATTTTTTTTATCATGTTAAAGAAAAATACATAGAATCTTTGAAATCTTTGGATTGGAAACAAGCGTGAGACACAATACATCTGGACAGTTGGAATAAACTCAATTAAAATTCAAGTGCAAGAGCGAATACAAAATAATCATTATTTTATGGATCTTTATTGAATCAGTCTATTGATTGAACAAAGGTATTGGCTTTTCAGAACTCTAATAAATGAATGAAGTAAAAATATAGCTAGAAAAATAAAGAGTTTATTCAAAAAATTGAGCAGATAGTATTGCCCATAGCATCATTTTTTGGAACGGTGGATACGTTTCATATGTTTTTCGGCATCGTGCTTTTGAATGAAACACTTGGCACACCACTTGCAATGGAACGGCTTCTCTCCCGTGTGATGCATCCGCATGTGATTTCGTAGATTGGTTGTTTTCGACTTGAAAACTTTGCAAATGTAACATTGATACTGACGACGAGCGCAAATCTTCTCGTGTGCTACTTTATCCTCTCCTTTTGCTAATCCTCGACGACACTTGATGCACCGAAATGGGAATTGATCGCGATGGGTAGCTAAATGTTGATTGAGATGACCTTTGTGGATGAACTTCTTTCCGCATATTTCACATTGGAATTGACGGTCGCCGATGTGTTTTGCGTGCATGTGGCGGTTCTGATCGTATTTGGCAAAACATTCGTATCCGCAGAGATAACATTCGTATCGACGATGTTTGCATCGCTTTTCATGCGATTGTTTGGCCTCTTCTTGGGCGAATCGTTGGCCACAATTCAAACAAGAATGAGGAAGCTCATCAAAGTGAGTTCGCAAGTGAACATTCAAATGTTGTTTCCGTGCAAATGATTTGGAACAAACCAAACATTCGAATTGTTTTTCTCCGCTGTGGATGATCTTGTGCCGAACCAAGGTGCCTTTTTGTGTGAATCTTTTTGAACATTCTTCGCATTTGTTCGGCTTGTCGCCTGTGTGAATACGAATGTGTCTTGTGAGATCCGCTTTTCGCGATGTAACATAACCACACACATGACACTTGTTCTCCGTTCGTTTCTTTGCCGCCTTATTCCTCGGAATCTTCCGTTGGTTCTGCTTTCTTGAACTATCCTTCTTTCCATTTACGTTTGAATTGAGTCTCGTGCGATTGACGTTTGGGACCATTGGCCCATCACCTTGACCTCCATGCGCATTTGGTTCATTTCCATTCGAGCCCGAATTTGTTGATGAATTTTCTCCAGACTTCGTTTCTTTGCACATCACCTCCTCTTTCACACCATTTAAATCAGACTCAAAATCAAAATCCGATTCAGACTCGTCCACCCATTCAATGTTCAATGTGACAGTCGCTACACCTACTCCAAATCTTTCATTTGAACGTGTGACCAAACCAAATTCATTGCCATCCGATGGTTCCTCCTTAATGTCTGGCTCTTGTTTGATTTCGACTTCGATGTTGTTTGCTTTACGCTTTACACGACCATCCGAAGTACCTTCGCCCGGATCTATATCCATAACCAATGCCAATCTGTCAAACAATCGCAGAAAATATGATTAAGGAATGAGATCTTTTGAACTGTCAGATTTTTTTGATTGAGAACACTATTGCTGTAGAATTTTGCGGAAGCTTTTATTTTTTCATGTGAGCGAAAAAAAAAAAATTCTGACACGGCGCAGGTCAATGCAAAAAAGGCACGAACAGTGTCTATGTCACAAGTCGCGTTGCACAAATGGAAACATTGAACAAATGCACCCGATTCGTTTTAAATTCGTGGCATTTACGTTCGAATTTTCTGAATACTTACAAATATCGTGTGTCCGACTGTTCGTGCAAAACGTGAAGAAAAATGTCCGCTTATTTATTTCTCCTTCAAATGACTAACAATAAGAGGAATTCTTTTCCAATGCACACGGAATCAACACCGGAGTTGAACGTCAACTTAGTATGGCCTGATATTTCGTTGTGTGTATGTCTGCGTTACAATGAATATGGTTGACATTAGGCTCTTGCTTATTTCATTCCAATACGATTCCATTGCACGTTTTTAAGTTGGCAACATTCATGTGGAATTCAATTCGGACACATTCACTGGCAAAAATAATAAAATAAATGAAAAACGGCTCCAAATCAAACATTTTTTTCTAATCAATTGTTCAATTTGGTAGAAATCTTTTTGGAATTGTCGAAAATTCATCTGATGGCGAACTTTGTTTCGAAATATAGATTGCAAACTTGAATTCCAGTCGGAATGACAGTTGAACATTTGAAACGAAGCGAATGAATTGGCTTCCGAAGCTGTCACCTTCGTAGTAAAAAGCACAGGCTCACCTATACAAACAGCGTTCGATCACGCCAAACTCAAATGACATACACAGCACGAAATGCTACACAACCACTTTACGGCGGTCATTTAGAGGAGGAACACATAACAACACGTACTAGTTTTCATCGACGAAAAAAACATAAAGTAAGTGCCCGGAATATATGTTTGCTATTTTAAATTCAGGATTTTCGATAAAAATGTCATTCATTGAAGTTTCATTGGAAACTGATTCACCTCCGTCCATAGATTCATGTTCAATAGAGTTAGTGAATTTCATTGTTTCCAAAATGATAGCATCATCCAATATTTTGTAGGAGAATTCAAAGTTCCTTCTTTGTTGCACAAACATTTACATGCTCATTGGAAATATTTCTCTAGCGGAATTTCTTTCCAATTGATTTATAGTATTTGCCAGCATTTGTTTTGATTTCTTTCGCAACGTTTTGTCAACGAATAACACAGTCACACCATTTTGCTTGACAATTTAATCAGCAGTGCATCTTAGTGAGACGACAGCTCTGAGTTTTTCAGTCTCAATTTCAGTTGCTTTTATATTTCAAATGCACATTCAGTTCTACCAATGGAAAAATCTTCTTATCTGACAAATTTCATTTCTTCATCAGATTTTTTTTGATTGTTCGACAGGCTTGCATTGGTTATGGATATGGATCCAGGCGAAGGTACTTCGGATGGTCGTGTTAGGCGTAAAGCAAACAACGTCGAAATGGGAATAAAACAAGAGCCAGACGGAAAGACCATCAAGGAAGAATCGGCGGATGGCTGTAAATTTGGTTTGGTTACGCGTTCAAATGAAGGATTGGCAGCGAATACGACATCCAACGTTGAATTGATGGACGAGTCCAGAGAGGATTTCATTCTGGACTTTAATTTGAATGATGTGAAAGAAGAAGTGAAATTCGAAGAAGGGAAACCAGAAGAAGTAGAAGATTTTTCAGCAGATTCGGGTTTGAATGGAAATGATTCAAATTCTTGTGACGATCAAGGTGATGAGCCAGTGAATTGCAAGAGACTCAATTCAAGTGGCAAAGGAAAAAAACGTGATGGGTCAAGAAAGCAGAATAAACGGAAGATTCCGAGGAATAAGGCGGCAAAGAAACGGAAGCAGCACAAGTGTCATGTTTGCGGTTATGTTACATCGCATAAATGGAATTTCGCCACACACATTCGTATTCACAAAGGCGACAAGCCATACAAATGCAACGATTGTTCGAAAAAATTTGCACATAAAAGCGACTTGATTCGGCACGAGAATATCCACAGCGGAGAAAAACCATTCGAATGCTCTCTTTGTTCCAAGTCATTTGCACAGAAAAACAATTTGAATGTTCACTTGCGAACTCACCCTGATGAGCTTCCTTACTCTTGTCTGAAATGTGGCCAACGATTTTCCAGCGATGAGGCCAATCAATCGCATGAAAAACGCTGCAAACATCGTCGATACGAATGTTATCTCTGCGAATACAAATGTTTTGCCAAAGGCAACCTGAAAAGCCACATGCAAGCAAAACACACCGGCGAACACCAATTTCAATGTGAAATATGCGGGAAGAAATTCATCCATAGAGGTGATCTCAATCAACATTTGGCCACTCATCGCAATCAATACCCATTCGAATGCAGCAAGTGTCGCCTGGCGTTCACAAGAGAAGAGAATAAAGCAGCACATGAAAAGATCTGCGGCCGTCGTCAGTATCAATGTTACATTTGCAAAGTTTTCACATTTTTCAAGTCGAAAACAACCAATCTACGAGTTCACATGCGAGCGCATCACACAGGAGAAAAACCGTTCCATTGCAAGTGGTGCAAAGCACGTTTTTCGCACAAAAGCAACGCCAACAACCATATGAAAAGACGTCATCTTTCATCGAAATAAGGATGTTCGATAGTATTCTGCGGTCATCTATATATTTGAACCAGAACAATTGCCTGGGAAAAATAACAAAAACCAATTGACTGCCTTCATTTCGTGACCAATTCTAACTTGGATGAAAATATTCCGAAATAAAATGAATTTAATTCAAAACAAATAGAGTTTTTTTTATTTTTTTATCATATTAACCCTCTAATGCATTAATTTTTCTCAGGACTGGGAGTACTGGTACTTGGTTGATTTTTGACCATAGATAATTTAGAAAAAAAATCATAATCCTGGATTCCTCATGGTTTAGTCAGAAAATGCGATTGACATAAATCATAGAACAATCAAATCCATTGTTTAAAAGTGTCAAAAATGTGTCTAATTTCGAGTTCGAATATTTATTTTGTCAAATTTTTGTTTTTGCACACATTTTTGTTTATAACTTTACAATCACACTACATAGACAAATATTGCCAAAGACAAAAATAAAGAGAGAACATTGACGAAAAAAAGCTTCTTTTTGGTTTACGTTCTACAGGCGTTCAAATGTTGCCCGTCTAGAGGCGGTTGTATGCATTAGAGGGTTAAAGAAGAAAAACATTGAATTGAATAAATCTTTGAATTGGAAACCAGCGTAAGACACAATACATCTGGAGAGTTGGAATGAACTCAATTAAAAGTCAACTGCAAGAGCGAATACATAATAATCATGTACAGAACGAATTACATTATGGATCTTTATTGAATCAGTCTATTGAAAGAACAAAGGTATTGGCTTTTCAAAACTCCAATCAATAAATGAAGTAAAAGTACCATTTCCAAGAAGGAAAATAAAGAGTTTATTTGAAAAAATTGAGCAGTTGGATCTCTTATAGCATCATTTTTTGGAACGGTGGATACGTTTCATATGTTTTTCGGCATCGTGCTTTTGAATGAAACACTTGGCACACCACTTGCAATGGAACGGCTTCTCTCCCGTGTGATGCACCCGCATGTGATTTCGTAGATTGGTTGTTTGTAGCTTGAAAACTTTGCAAATGTAACATTGATACTGACGACGGCCGCAGACATTTTCATGTGCTGTTTTATCCTCTTCCATTGCGAATGCACGGCGACACTTGATGCACCGAAATGGGAATTGATCGCGATGAGTGGCCGAATGTTGATTGAGATCACCTTTATGGATGATTTTCTTTCCGCATATTTCACATTGAAATTGATGTTCGCCGGTGTGTTTTGCTTGCATGTGCCGTTTAAGATTGACTTTGTCAAAATCTTTGTAGTCGCAGAGATAACATTCATATCGACGTTGATTGCAACGCTTTTCATGGGATTGTCTGGCCTCATCGCTAGCAAATCGTTGACCACATTTCAAACAAGAATGCGGAAGATCATCAGGGTGAGTTCGCAAGTGAACATTCAAATTGTTTTTCTGTGCAAATGATTTGGAACAAACCAAACATTCAAATTGTTTTTCTCCGCTGTGGATTTTCTTATGCCGAATCAAGTCACTTTTTTGTGCGAAGCTTTTCGAACATTTTTCGCATTTGTACGGCTTGTCGCCTGTGTGAATACGAATGTGTTTGGCGAAATTCCCTTTATGCGATGTAACATAACCGCAGACATGACACTTGTGCTCCGTTCGTTTTTTCGTCGCCTTATTCCTTTGAATCGTTCGTTTGGTCTGTTTCCGTGAACCATCGCGATTCTTTCCCTTTATATTTGAACTGAGTCTTGTGCGATTGACATTTAGTCCGACCATTGATCGACCATTTTGACCGTCACGAGCATTCGGTACATTTCCATTCGAGCCCGAATCTGCTGATAAATCTTTTCCTTTATCTGGCTTCTTTTCTTCACACTTCACCTCTTCTTTAACATCATTCAAATCGAAGTCGAGATCAGATTCCGATTCCGACTCGTTCACCAATCCAATGTTCAATGTCACACCTGCTCCAAATCTTTCATTCGAACGTATCACCAAACCAAGTTCATTGCGATCCGACGGTTCTTCCTTGATGTCTGGCTCTTGTTTGATTTCCACTTCGATGTTGTTTGCTTTACGTTTTACACGACCATCCGAAGTACCTTCGCCTGGATCCATATCTATAACCGATGCCAATCTGTCGAGAATCAAAGAAAACACGATAAAGAAATGAGATCTTTTCACTGCCACATTCTGATTGAAAAAAAAAACCAATTAAAGTTAACTAAAACCAAATGAAAAGTAGTTTCAACAAAAATTAGAAAACTTATTTCCTGAAAGAGTACCTTTTCTACTTATATTTAGCCAAATTTTAAAAAAATCGTTGGTTTTGTTTCGCTACAAAACTTTGCTTTTTGATCAGAATGGAAGTAGAAGTTATTGAAAAGAATACATTTTAGAACACTGTTGTAGCGAAACAAAACCTACGATTTTTTAAAAATTTGGCTAAATATAAGTAGAAAAGGTAGGGGACTTTGCTGCAGGTTGGCTACCACTTTATAATTTGGTCATAACTTTGTCAGGAGTTAACATTTACAAAAGTGTATGGTACCGTTGGATAGATAATGTCCAGAGCTATAATTTTTCCAAAGAAACATATGCTTTTCAAAAACAAAATTTATGGTCAATTTTCTGAAGGTGCTGATAATGGCGAAAAAATTTTTTTTGCTGCAAGTTGAGAAAAATAGCATAATACATGCGAATAAATGATATAAATGCGATATATTTCCAATGTTATGAGGATTTTATCGTTATATAATGCATTAACAATAAATTTGGATGTTAAAAGATACTTCAAATACACACAGTGTGTGTGTTGTGCTTGTATCGCCTCCTTCGTTCCGAATTAAAATGCAACAAATTTTGTTATTTCATTGATCGATATATTTCGGCTTTCTGAAAGCCATCTTCAGGATCTAAAAACGAAATAATTTGTTACAATCTTTCTAAAAAATATAGTTTGGTTTTTTTGTGTAAAAATAAATATTTACCAGAGTCAAAAAGACTCACACTTTGATTCTAATTCTCAATCATAACAAACTATGTGAAGTGTCAAAGTAAAGGTTTGACATATCGCTGTGACTAGCCAAAAACGTTCATTGAACGGAATCATATTGCACGAAAAACCTATTCAATCCTAAACCTATCAACATGATCAATATAAATGGAATGAAAAAGGAAGAAAAACCTGTTTTGCATTCTTAATTAGATTAACATATGCGTTGGTGTAGTCTTTTTTGTCAGTCTTATCGTTGCATGCATTCAATTCAAATTTGATGATTTGATTGACCTCTTGAATTTGAAGTTTGGTTTTATTGTTCTCTCGTTTGAGTATTTTTCCCTCATCAAATTTAAAATAATGGCCATTATTCTTCGCATGTTTCGCCAGTGCAGATGAATATTTCGTGACAGGTTTATTGCAATCGCACTTGTGCTGTGATTTTCTCGTTCCGAATTTTTGGATGGTTTCTCCTATGTAAACGGCAGAACAATCCTTGCATTCGAGTAAATACACCAATCCAGATTTGTCGTCTGTTTTGTGAAATAAATTCCACCGTTCCGGCAAAACAAAAACCACAGTCATTCGACTGTGTTTAAAAGATACTCTTAGTAAGCACCAAAATCGATCTTCCTTTTTCGAGTCGGTATGTTCGTTTTCGAAATAAAACTTAATAAATTTCCAGGAAAAAAAACACTAAAATGACTTATATGCACTTCAACGATGATTCAGTGATGATTTACAAACGAAATCAATACTTAAATCGTTTTTATGCATAATTTGCTAAAATTTACCTATTCTCAACCTGCAGTTTTGTAGACTTTTTTTCCGAGACTCACAACTTTTTTTCAACACCACAAAATACACATAATTCATATTGAATCATAAAGAGAAATGAAAATACTATAAAATAACGCTTATCCGACTCCTTTTTCTATGCTAAATAGAGAATTTATAACACTTGGCAAAAACCAGAAAAAAAAAATTTCGCACAAAAAATCACAGTCGAATTGGAAGTGTATCAAAACAAATGCCAGTTCTGTCGAAACAATCCTCAAAAGTGATCATGCATTAAACTAAGACTTTGACAGCTATTGCGATGGCGGTATCATCACGTATAGTGAAAAAAGTAACGTTTCTCAACCTGCAGCAACGCCCCCTCCCCTACTCTTTCAGGAAATATTTTTTTCCAATTTTTGTTGGAACTACTTTTCATTTGGTTAACATTAGTTTGTTTGTTTTTCAATCACAATCATACTTCAATGGGTTTCAGTAGTAACCAACGTGAAGTTGGCTGCGTTGCCCGGTATGCATTTTGCTCACCCTTTGAACTGTCGGATTTTTTGATTGAGAATATCATTGCTGTCGAATTCATTTGCGAAGGATTTTATTTTTTCATGTCAGCGAAAAAAGAATAATTCTGACACGGCGCAGGTCAATGCAAAAAGTCACGAACAGTGTCTATGGCACAAGTCGCGTTGCACAAATTGAAACAATGAACAAATCCACTCGATTCGTTCTAAATTCATTGCATTTACGTTTAAATTTTCTGAATACTTACAAATATCGTGTGTCCGACTGTTCGTGCAAAACGTGAAGAAAAATGTCCGCTTATTTATTTCTCCTACAAATGACTAACAATAAGAGGAATTCTTTTCTAATGCACACGAATCGACACCGGAGCTGAACGTCAACTTAGTATGGCTTGATATTTCGTTGTGTGCATGTGTGCGTTACAAGGACATTAGGCTCTTGCTTATTTCATTCCAATACGATTCCATTGCACGTTTTATAGTTGGCAACATTCATGTGGAATTCAATTCGGACACATTCACTGGCAAAAATAATAAAATAAATGAAAAACGGCTCCAAATCAAACAATTTTTCCTAAATAATTGTTCAATTTGGTAGAAATCTTTTTGGAATTGTCGAAAATTCATCTGATGGCGAACTTTGTTTCGAAATATAGATTGCAAACTTGAATTCCAGTCGGAATGACAGTTGAACATTTGGAACGAAGCGAATGAATTGGCTTTCGAAGCTGTCACCTTCGTAGTAAAAAGCACAGGCTCACCTATACAAACAGCGTTCGATCACGCCTCCTTCAAACGACATACGCAGCACTCAATGCTACTCAACCACTTTACGGCGGTCATTTAGAGGAGGAACACATAACAACACGTACTAGTTTTCATCGACGAAAAAAATATAAAGTAAGTGCCCGAAATACATTTTTGCCATTTTAAATTCAGGATTTTTCGAAAAAATGTCATTCATTGAAGTTTCATTAGAAATTGATTCTTTTTCGTGCAGAGTTTTATATTCAATAGAGTCAGTGAATTTCATTGTTTCCAAAATGATAGCATCATCCAATATATTGTAGCAGAATTTAAAGCTCCTTCTTTGTTGCACAAACATTTACTCATTGCTCATTGGAAATATTCTTCCAGCGGAATTCCTTTCCTATTGAATTACACTATTTGTCAGCATTTGTTCTGATTTCTTTCGCAATGTTTTGTGAATGAATAACACAGCCACACCATTTTGCTTGACATTTTTATCAGTAGTGAATCTTAGTGAGACGACAGCTCTGTGTTTTTCAGTCTCAATTTCAGTTGTTTTGTTATTTTTCAAATGCACATTCAGTTCTACCAATGGAAAGGTCTGATCTGACAAATTTCATTTCTTCATCAGATTTTTTTTTTTGATTGTTCGACAGGCTAGCATTGGTTATGGATATGGATATGGATCCAGGTGAAGGTGCTTCGGATGGTCGTGTAAAACGTGAACCAAACAACATCGATGTGGAAATCAAACAAGAGCCAAACATCAAGGAAGAACCGGCGGATGGCAGTGAATTCGGCTGGGTAACACGTTTGAGTGAAGGATTTGGAACAGATGCAACGACTGGGACATTGAACATTGGATTGGTGGACAAGTTCGAATCGGATATCGATCTTGAATTTGATTTGAATGGTGTAAAAGAGGAAGTGAAGTGTGAAGGAAAGAAGCCAGATAAAGGAAAAGATTCTTCATTTGATTCAGACTCGAAGGGAAATGAAGCGAATGCCCAAGGCGATCAAAATGATGAGCCAGTGATCGAGCCAAAAGTCAGTCGAAAAGGACTCAATTCAAACGCCGGAAAAAGGCGTGATGGATCAAGAAAACAGGATAGACGTAAGATTCCAAGGAATAAGGCGGCAAAGAAACGAACGGTGCACAAGTGTCATGTGTGTGGTTATGTTACATCGCATAAAAGTCATCTCAATGCACACATTCGTAGTCACACAGGCGACAGGCCATACAAATGCGATCAATGTTCAAAAAGCTTCACATTCAAATGTAATTTGAATCAGCACAAGAAAGTCCATAGCGGAGAAAAGCGATTCGAATGCTCTGTTTGTTTCAAATCATTTGCACAAAAAAACAATTTAAATGGTCACTTTCGAACTCACGCTGATGAGCTTCCTCATTCTTGTCTGAAATGTGGTCAGCGGTTTGACGGTGAGGAGGCCAAACAATCGCATGAAAAGCGATGCAAACATCGTCGATACGAATGTTATCTCTGCGAATTCAAAGATTTCCACAAAAACAATCTGAAACGGCACATACAAGCAAAACAACCGGCGAACATCGATTCCAATGTAAAATATGTGGAAAGAAATTCATCCGTAAAGATCGCTTCAATCAACATTTGGCTTCCCATCGCGATCGATTCCCATTCGGATGTATCAAGTGTCGCCTGGCATTCGCAATGGAAGAGGATAAAGTAGCACATGAAAATGTCAGCGGCCGTCGTCAGTATCAATGTTGCATTTGCAAAGTTTTCAAGCTACAAACAGCCAATCTACGAAGACACATGCTAGCGCATCACACGGGAGAGAAGCCGTTCCAGTGTAAGTGGTGCAAAGCACGTTTTTCATACAAAAGCAACGTTTCCAGTACTTGACCTCGATGAAATTCAAAAGCGATCGCATCGCTATTCTGAAGGAATCTTCTATATTTTGATGTTTGCAAATTGAATCCTTTCCCATAACTCCGATCAAAATTGATAGTTTTTCATTTTGGATTATAATTATGAAGTGGGCAATCAGCGATCGAAATAATCTGCACGATTATAACGATGGCAATTTCTTTCATTATATACGGGATACATTGTAACAAAATACGAAAAAATGATTTTTTAAAAATTAAATTTGATAAGAAATGATTGCTTTTTAAGAGGCTCGAGTTTCGTCTCGTACGCAATTTATACCGATTCAAGCAAACAAGTGAGCTTTTGTTCTTGTACTTACATCTGGAGAGTTAGAATGAACTCAATTAAAAGGCAAATACCAAAGTGAATGCAAAATATTCTATAGAATTATTGTGTGCTATAGCACAAAATAAATTACATTTTAGATCTTTATTGAATCACCTTATTGGAAGAACAAAGTAATTGGCTTATCAAAATTCGAATCAACAGATGAAATGAAAAAATTCAATTATTAGAAGGAAAAGAAAGAGTTAATTCAAAAGGAATTGAACAGATGCTATCGTCCGAAGCATTACTTTTTCAAACGGTGAATACGTCTCATGTGCTTTTCGGCTCCGTCCTTTCGAATGAAACACTTGGCACACTTCTTGCAATGGAAAGGCTTGTGTCCTGTGTGATGGACACGCATGTGAATTCGTAAATGGCCTGTGTACTGTTTGAAAACTTTGCAAATGTAACATTGATGCTGACGATGGCCGCAGATCTTTTCATGTGCTGTTTTATCCTTTTCTCTTGCGCATGCCCGGCGAAACTTGCTGCATCGAAATGGGAATTGATCGCGATGGGTGGCCAAATGTTGATTGAGATCACCTCTATGGATGCATTTCTTTCCGCATATTTCACATTGAAATTGGTGTTCACCGGTGTGTTTTGCTTGCATGTGCCGTTTCAGATTGTTTTTGTGGAGATCTTTGTAGTCGCAGAGATAACATTCATATCGACGTTGATCGCAACGCTTTTCATGAGATCGTCTGGCCTTTTCTTCGGCAAACCGTTGACCACATTGCAAACATGAATGTGAAAGATGATAGGTGTGAGTTCGCAAGTGAACATTCAAATGGTGTTTCAGTGCAAATGATTTGAAACAAACGGAACATTCGAATTGCTTTTCTCCGCTGTGGATTATCTTGTGCCGAATCAAGTCAGTTTTTTGTGTGAAACTTTTGGAACATTCATCACATTTGTATGGCCTTTCGCCTGTGTGAATACGAATGTGTCTGATGAGACGCCATTTCTGTGATGTAACATAACCGCAAACATGACACTTGTGCTCCGTTCGTTTCTTCGCCGCCTTATTCCTTGGAATCTTCTGTTTGTTCTGCTTTTTTGATCCATCGCTTCTCTTCCCTGCGCTTCTAGAATTGAGTCTCATGCGACTGATGTTCGGTTCGACCATTGGTTCACCAACATGGGCATTTGGCTCATTACCATTCGAGCCCGAATTTGCTGAAGAATCTTTTCTTTGTTTTGCTTTCTCTCCTTCACACTTCACTTCCCCTTTCACATCATTCAAATCAATGTCGAGATCAAAATCCGATTCAGAATCTTCCATCAATTCGATGTATGATGTCGCAGTTGTTGTATCTGCTCCAAATCCATCATTCAAACGTGTCACCAAAGCAAATTCATTGCCATCCGATGGTTCTTCCTTGATGTTTTGCTCTTGTTTGATTTCCACTTCGATGTTGTTTGGTTTATGCTTTACACGACCATCTGAGGTACCTTCGCCCGGATCCATATCCACCAATGCCAAAAATCTGTCGAACAAATGAAAGAAAAATATGAATGAAATATGGCCGGAGATTTCTTATTTAGAGTATGTTTGCTGAAGAATACAATTGCAAGGGAAAATTTAATGTCAATGTTATGACAAAATGTACGTTGTGAAACCTTTCAATGTGTTTTTCGACAGAAATACGCTTGATTCGTTGAAAAAATGTATTTTTTTTTAAATTAAAAATCTCTGCCTTAAAATTCATGCCAATGTATGTCGATATAACTTTTCAATACTTACCAATATATGAAGAAAAATGTCTGTTTGCTAAATTCTCTTACAATTGACCGATCGATAGAAGTTTTCGTTTCTAGTGCGTAACAATTAACACCGAAGGTTGACGTCAACTAAATGTGGCGTGATATTTCGTTATGTGTGCGTGTGTGTTACAATGATCGTGGTTGACATTAGGTTCTATCCCATTTCAGTCCATTGATGTCATCATTTGATTTTTCCAATGTTTAAGAATATAATTTCATTCAAAACCGTTGCAAAAAAAAAATCAAAACTATTAAAAACAGCTCCAAATCACAAATTAATAGCTCAAATACTCGAAAGATCTCTTTGGAGTACTTAATCAAAGCAGAATTGTGAATTGTGAATTCTGTTTCGAAATGTGAATTGCAAACTCAAATTCCAGTCGAATGACAGTTGAACATTTGGAACGAAAGGGATGAAATCGAATTGGAAGCTGTCACCTTCAAAGTAAGCAACACGGACTCACCTATACACACAAAAATTGTTCGATCACGTCACACTCAATCGACGTACGCAGCACTCAATGCTACACAACCACTTTACGGCGGTCATTTAAGGGAGAAACACACGACAACACGAACTCATTCTCATTGACGAACAGGAAAAACCCAAAGTAAGTGCTCGATAAAAAGAATTACATTGGTAATCCCGAACTTTTCCGTACCGTTGGCCTGCGTTGTCCGTAGGTCCCAAGAGAAACGGCCAATATGTTTATACGCTGTCTATCCGCCGAAAATACACTACAATATATACACGCTTATTGGACGCCGAATTGAATATATATTCTAGTGTATATTCGGTGTATTCTTCAGCGTGAAACATATTGAATAAACGAATGCATTCATGGCCACCAGAGGGCGCCTGAATATGTTTCAATATGTTTCACGCCGAAGAATACGCCAAATATACACTAGAATATATATTCGATTCGGCGTGCAATAAGCGTGAATATATTGTAGTGCATTTTCGGCGGATAGACAGCGTATAAACATATTGGCCGTTTCTCTTGGGGTACTTTTGATTATTTTTTGTGAATTTTCTTGAAATTAAGGCAGTGAAAATATAATAATATAAATAAAGTGAAAAATCGGTCACTTTAACTAAAACTTCGACAATTTTGTATGAGAGGTACCCGTAAACCGATTCTTATTGGCTTTAAACTTTCTGAGGTTTCATTTTTTGGAGAAAAAATAAGATTCTGAAAGTTTCATGTTGATTGCATTTGCAGAAGTTTGGTTTTTGGCCCTCAAATTTTTCCAAGTAAATGTCGGCCGAAATTGAGGACAAAAAATCAAACTTCTGCAAATGCGATCAACATGAAACTTTCGGAATCTTATTTTTTCTCCAAAAAATGAAACCTCAGAAAGTTTGAAGCCAATCAGAATCGATTAACGGGTACCTCCCATACAAAATTGTCCAAAAATCGGTAATTTTATAAGCCATGAACTGTGAGTAACTACGTGTACCTAGTGTCATGACTACGTGTACCTAGTGTCATTACTACGAACTCACATGAATTTTAAGTAATCTCTCGTAATCTCTAAATCTGGTTAAATTTCGTTAAATACAGTATTTGGAGAACGCTAGGAAGACCGTGTTAATAAATTGTTAAATTTCCACATTTTATAAATTCAAAATATGATATATTCATTGGACTAATAAATTGTAAAAAATACACATGAAAAAAATAAATTCATTTAATTTTTCGGTAGAAATCTAATGATAAACTTCAAACGTATTCCCTTTTGAATCTCAATGAACAAATCTCATTACTCCTGAAATGCATTGACACATTTGGTAACTTCGATCAACCAAATGAAATTGAATTTGCTTCGGTAGAAAATCGAATACTAAATGAATTTTCAATGTTATTGAAGCATTTATTTATTCTTAATATTATTTATTTTAATAAATATATTTAAAAAAAATGAATAACATTCTTATTAAATTTAAAAACTTTGTTTTTCTGTGTACGTACTTAACTCACATTAAGTACGAACCGCCATTGCTGTATATTGCTGTAGTGGCAGCCATTTTCCTTTTGACACATTGAAGATGTGATAATCATTGAAATAAAATAAAATAAATATAATAAACAAATCAAGTTGGAATACACATAAATCAATTTGCATGAAAATTTCCATTACTTCTGAATACTCTAGTTTCATTTATTTATTCCGAATTTAAAAATAAATGAAGCTCTTGACTATATAAATTTATTCAAATCATTTAGCTTGCTTGTATATTATTCAAGAGAAATGAAAATTGCATGTCAACTTAGCAAATAAAATTGTTCTACAGTGAATTCAAAAACGTGCTTTGGGTATCACATTTTTATTTTGACATGAAATTTATATTACTCCTGAAAAACGTATGAATAAACAGAATGCAAAATGATCTCTGGCATGTAATATATATGAATATGAACTGTCAAAAGCGGTGAAAAGGAAAATGGCCGCCATTACAGCTGTTCATACCGGTTCATACCCAATGTATGTTATGTACATACGCATAAAAACAAAGTTTTTAAATTTAATACATTTTGATACAGAATGTATTTCTTTTTATTTCAAAATATTTATCAGAAATAAATGTCTTAATAACAGCGAGAAATGTAGTGTCGATATACTCCATTATTGTTTACACGAAGTTTCCAAACGTTGCCAAAGAAGGTAATGTAATTCAGGAGTAATGAGATTTGTTCATTAGTATTCAAAGTGAATGCGTCATAGATTGATTTATCATTTATGTTTTACTGTCGGAATTTTTCCAAAAAAACGAATGAATTTATTCTTTCAAATTTTACAATTTATTAGTCGGTAATAGCAAGCACCCATGCGTATTATATTAAACTAATCATTTCAGTTGGTGTTTATTCAATTGTATAGGTACTTAAAATGTATTTTACAAATCTGACAGAATCTGACAGTTGCGGCGAGACTACGGGGGTAGGGGGCGCCATGAGTATCAAATCTCTACAGTTCATGGCTTATGTAATTTTAGTCAAAATTTCAAAAAAGTTGTATGGGAGGTACCCGTAAATCGATTCCGATTGGTTTCAAACTTTCAGAATCTTATTTTTTTCCCAAAAAATGAAATCTCAGAAAGTTTGGAGCCAATCAGAGTCGATTTACGGGTACCTCCCATACAAAAGTGTCAATTTTTTGAGGTTTTTCTTAGGGCAAGTACCCCTGGATCAAATCGAAAATGGCTCATCTTCGAACTTAAACTAAGTTTTTTGGATACAAAACTTTTGGCATTTCCAGATTTTGATTATCTCAATTATTTTTTGAGTTATCGTTTTTACAAACAGCTACGACAACGACGACAACGACGACAACGACGACAACGACGACGGCACACGAACGGAAAAGTGTCTCAAAAAGTGGTTTTCTACGGCAGAACGTCATGCGGTCTGGATGTCATGGTGTCTCAGACACAATGTCCTTTTTTTATGCGCATTCGTGTCTGATTTCTTCAGACACGGCGACGTGAAAGTTTCAGACACAACGTCGTTTTTTTTATGCGCGAAATACGTTGCCGTGTCTCAGACACCACAACGCGAATGCAGTCCCACAGCGAACCACCTCAAAATTGGAAAATTACAATAGAGTTTTAGGTGAAAATGTTGTAAATAAGGCTCATTTTTTCAATTTTGTGCATGATATTCGATCGGAAGAGCTCCTCAAATCCCGTGAGATGTCACAGTTTTTTGAGATCATCTGGATATAGCTCGTTGATATGAACCAAAGTCAATGGTTCTTCACTGCATATGGTAATCATTCATAACCAAGGTATACCTTCATAAAAAAGTGAGAATAAATATTTCCTTTCTGTCATTTTCATTTAATTATTTCTTTCATTTATTTACTTTTAAAATTCCAAACTAAAATCAGCCTTCATAAAAGGATTACAAAAAAGTTCGGGGATTCAGCGTAATGAGTCACTTATTCCCTTTTATTCTGAATTAGTGCCTGAGACCAAATGACGCAAAAACGTCAGACCAGGTAACGGTAAAAAACCGTCGTAGTGTCTCAGACCCCTTGTCGTCTGATAACACAATATTTTGTCAGACCCCTTGTCGCATTATTTTACGACATCGTGTCTCAGACCGTATGACATCCAGACCGCATGACATGTTGCCGTTTTCTACGCGTTTCATGAGTTTTTATGATGATCTAAGCTAATTTGGCGAAAAAAGTTTTCGGGACCAATTCCTATACTTTCCCTTGACACGTTGTGTACGGAAAAGTAAAATGTGTTTTTGCAATTTTAAACTTAGGATTTTTCAATAAAAAAGAATTCAGTCAAATATTCATTACATTTTCATTGGAAACATTTTGTCAACATTTGTTCTGGTTTCTTTGGTGATGTTTTGTAAATGAATAAAACAGCCACGCCATTTCGCTTGACATTTTAATGAGTATTGAATTTTAATGGGACGACAGCTTCAGTTCCAATTTGAGCGGTTTTTATATTTCCAATGCACTAAATAATTGAACTAAATAACTAATGAAAAAAGTTCTGAACTAATCTCATTTCTTTATCACATTTTCTCCGGTTATTTGATACTTGACAGATTGGCATTGGTTATGGATATGGATCCAGGCGAAGGTACATCAGATGGTCGTATAAGGCGTAAAACAAACAACATCGAAGTGGAAATCAAACAAGAGCCAGACATCAAGGAAGAACCATCGGATGGCAATGAATTTGCTTTGGTGACACGTTTGAATGATGGATTTGGAGCAGATACAACAACTGCGACATCACACATCGAATTGATGGAAGCAATGATAGGAAACTTTCTTAGTTCTTAAAACATACCAAAGAGGGCACCAACAGCTGTACATAGAAAGTTCCATAAGAAAGCGCCCTCTTTGTCAAATATCTTGTTGTTGGTCAAGAAAAAGTAGGTATAGTTTCCTGTTGTTGGATGGAAGAGTCTGAATCGGATTTTGATCTCGACATTGATTTGAATGATGTGAAAGGGGAAGTGAAGTGTGAAGGAGAGAAAGCAAAACAAAGAAAAGATTCTTTAGCAAATTCGGGCTCGAATGGTAATGAGCCAAATGCCCATGTTGGTGAAACAATGGTCGAACCGAACATCAGTCACATGAGACTCAATTCGAGAAGCGCAGGGAAGAGAAGCGATGGATCAAAAAAGCAGAACAAACAGAAGATTCCAAGGAATAAGGCGGCGAAGAAACGAACGGAGCACAAGTGTCATGTTTGCGGTTATGCAACAACTCGAAAAGCGGATCTCACCAGACACATTCGTACTCACACAGGCGACAAGCCGTACAAATGCGACGACTGTTCGAAAAGTTTCGCACAAAAAGGCTCTTTGAAATGTCATAAGCGAATCCACAGCCGAGAAAAAACCATTCGAATGCTCTGTTTGTTCTAAGTCATTCATACTAAAATCCGTTTTGAACAATCATTTGCGAACTCACTCTGATGAGCTTCCCCATTCTTGTCTGAAATGTGGCCAACGATTTGCCAGCGATGAAGCCAAGAAATCGCATGAGAAGCGCTGCAAACGACGTCGATACGAATGTTATCTCTGCGAATACAAACGTTTTGCCAAATACGATCAGAAACGTCACATGCAAGCAAAACACATCGGCGAACATCGATTTCAATGTGAAATATGCGGGAATAAATTCATCCATAGAGGTGATCTCAATCAACATTTGGCAACTCATCGCGATCAATTGCCATTTCGATGCATCAAGTGTCACCGAGGATTCGCAAGAGAAGAGGATAAAACAGCACACGAGAAGATTTGCGCTCGTCGTCAGTATCAATGTCACATTTGCAATGTTTTCAAGTCGAAAACAACCAATCTACGAAATCACACGGGAGAGAAGCCGTTCCATTGCAAGTGGTGCAAAGCGCGTTTTTCACACAAAAGCAACGCCAACGCCCATATGAAACGGCATCATCGTTTGATGAAATGAGGAGGTTCGGTAGTATTCTGCGGTCATCTATCTATTTGAACCAAAACAATCGCCTGGGCAAAATAACAAACACCAATTGACTGCCTTCATTTCATGACCAATTCTAACTTTGATGAAAATATTCCAAAATAAAATGAATTTAATTCAAAACTAATAGATTTTTTTTATCACGTTAAAGAAAAAACATTGAATCTTTGAAATCTTTGGATTGGAAACAAGCGTAAGACACAATACATCTGGACAGTTGGAATAAACTCAATTAAAACTCAAGTGCCAGAGCGAATACAAAATAATCATTAATTTATGGATCTTTATTGAATCAGTCTATTGAAAGAACAAAGGTATTGGCTTTTCAGAACTCTAATCAATGAATGAAGTAAAAATATAGCTAGAAAAATAAAGAGTTTATTCAAAAAATTGAGCAGATGGTATTGCCCATAGCATCATTTTTTGGAACGGTGGATACGATTCATGTGTTTTTCGGCTTCGTGCTTTTGAATGAAACACTTGGCACACCACTTGCAATGGAACGGCTTCTCTCCCGTGTGATGCATCCGCATGTGATTTCGTAGATTGGTTGTTTTCGACTTGAAAACTTTGCAAATGTAACATTGATATTGACGACAGCGACAAATCTTCTCGTGTGCTACTTTATCCTCTTCTTTTGCTAATCCTCGACGACACTTGATGCACCGAAATGGGAATTGATCGCGATGGGTAGCTAAATGTTGATTGAGATGACCTTTGTGGATGAATTTCTTTCCGCATATTTCACATTGGAATTGACGGTCACCGGTGTGTTTTGCTTGCATGTGGCGTTTTAGATTGCCGTTGGCAAAACATTCGTATTCGCAGAGATAACATTCGTATCGACGATGTTTGCAGCGTTTTTCATGTGATTGCCTGGCCTCACCGCTGGCAAATCGTTGGCCTCATTTCAGACAAGAATAAGGAAGATCATCGGCATGAGTTCGCAGGTGAACATTCAAATGATGTTCCCATGCAAATGATTTGGAACAAACAGAGCATTCAAATTGGTTCTCTCTGTTGTGGATGATCTTGTGCCGAACCAAGGTGCCTTTTTGTGTGAATCTTTTTGAACATTCTTCGCATTTGTACGGCTTGTCACCTGTGTGAATACGAAGGTGTCTTGTGAGATCCGCTTTTCGAGTTGTAACATAACCGCACACATGACACTTGTTCTCCGTTCGTTTCTTTGCCGCCTTGTTCCTCGGTATCTTCCGTTCGTTCTGTTTTCTTGAACCATCGCGCTTCTTTCCATTTACGTTTGAATTGAGTCTCGTGCGAATGACGTTTGATTGGACCATTGGCCCATCACCTTGACGTCCATGCGCATTTGGTTCATTTCCATTCGAGCCCGAATTCGTTGATGAATTTTCTCCGGACTTCGTTTCTTCGCACTTCACCTCCACTTTCACACCATTTAAATCAGACTCAAACTCAAAATCCGATTCAGACTCGTCCACCAATTCAATGTGCAATGTGACAGTCGCTACACCTGCTCCAAATCTTTCATTTGAACGTGTGACCAAACCAAATTCATTGCCATCCGATGGTTCCTCCTTAATGTCTGGCTCTTGTTTGATTTCGACTTCGATGTTGTTTGCTTTACGCTTTACACGACCATCCGAAGTACCTTCGTCCGGATCTATATCCATAACCAATGCCAATCTGTCAAACAATCGAAGAAAATATGATTAAGGAATGAGATCTTTTGAACTGTCAGATTTTTTGATTGAGAATATCATTGCTGTAGAATTCATTTGCGGAAGATTTTATTTTTTCATGTCAGCGAAAAAAGAATAATTCTGACACGGCGCAGGTCAATGCAAAAAAGGCACGAACAGTGTCTATGGCACAAGTCGCGTTGCACAAATTGAAACAATGAACAAATCCACTCGATTCGTTCTAAATTCAATGCATTTACGTCTGAATACTTACAAATATCGTGTGTCCGACTGTTCGTGCAACACGTGAAGAAAAATGTCCGCTTATTTATTTCTCCTACAAATGACTAACAATAAGAGGAATTCTTTTCTAATGCACACGAATCGACACCGGAGTTGAACGTCAACTTAGTATGGCCTGATATTTCGTTGTGTGCATGTGTGCGTTACAAGGACATTAGGCTCTTGCTTATTTCATTCCAATACAATTCCATTGCACGTTTTTAAGTTGGCAACATTCATGTGGAATTCAATTCGGACACATTCACTGGCAAAAATAGTAAAATAAATGAAAACAGCTCCAAATCAAACATTTTTTTCTAAATAATTGTTCAATTTGGTGGAAATTTATTTGGAATTGTCGAAAATTCGTCTGATGACGAACTTTGTTTCGAAATATGGATTGCAAACTTGAATTCCAGTCGGAATGACAGTTGAACATTTGAAACGAAGTGGATGAATTGGCTTTCGAAGCCGTCACCTTCGTAAACAACACAGGCTCACCTATACAAACAGCGTTCGATCACGCCTCCTTCAAACGACATACGCAGCACTCAATGCTACTCAACCACTTTGTGTCGGCCATTCAAAGCAGAAACACATAACAACACGTACTAGTTTTCATCGCCGAAAAAACATAAAGTAAGTGCCCAGAATACATTTTTGCCATTTTAAATTCAGGATATTTCGATAAAAATGTCATTCATTGAAGTTTCATTAGAAACTGATTCACCTCCGTCCATAGATTCATGTTCAATAGAGTCAGTGAATTTCATTGTTTCCAACTTGATAGCATTATCCAATATTTTGTAGGAGAATTCAAAGTTCCTTCTTTGTTGCACAAAGATTTACATGCTCATTGGAAATATTCTTCCAGCGGAATTCCTTTCCTATTGAATTACACTATTTGTCAGCATTTGTTTTGATTTCTTTCGCAATGTTTTGTGAATGAATAACACAGCCACACCATTTTGCTTGACATTTTAATCAGTAGTGAATATTAGTGAAACGAGAGCTCTGAGTTTTTCAGTCTCAATTTCAGTTGCTTTTATATTTCTAATGCATATTTAGTTCTACCAATGGAAAAATCTTCTGATCTGACAAATTTCCTTTCTTCATCACATTTTCTTTGATCGTTTGGCAGGCTAGCATTGGTCATGGATATGGATCCAGGCGAAGGTACTTTGGATGGTCGTGTAAAGCGTAAAGCAAACAGCATCGAAGTGGAAATTAAACAAGAGCCAAACATCAAGGAAGAACCGACGGATGGAAGTGAATTCGGCTTGGTAACACGTTTGAGTGAAAGATTTGGAGCAGATACAACAACTGCGACATTGAACATCGGATTGGTGGACGAGTCCAAATCGGATTTTGATTTGAATGGTGTAAAAGAGGAGGTGAAGTGCAAAGGAGAGAAGACAAGAAAAGGAAAAGATTCTTCACCAAATTCGGTCCCGAATGGAAATGAAACAAATGCTCGTGTTGGTCAAAATGATGAGCCAATGGTACAATTAAACGCCAGTCGCAAGAGACTCAACCCAAGTGGCAAAGGGAAAAAGTGTGACGGATCAAAAAAGCAGAACAAACAGAAGATTCCAAGGTGAACATCGATTTCAATGTGAAATATGCAGAAAGAAATTCATCCACAAAGGTCATCTCAATGAACATTTGGCAACTCATCGCGATCAATTCCCATTCGAATGCAGCAAGTGTCGTCGAGGATTCGCAATGGAAGAGGATAAAACAGCACACGAGAAGATCTGCGGCCGTCGTCAGTATCGATGTTACATTTGCAATGTTTTCAAGCTACATACAACCAATCTACGATTTCAAATGCGAGCGCATCACATGGGTGAAAAGCCATTCCATTGCAAGTGGTGCAAAGCGCGTTTTTTACACAAAAGCAACGCCAACGTCCATATGAAACGGCGTCATCGTTTGATGAAATAAGGAGGTAATGGCAGAACTCTACAGTATTCTACAGTCATCTTCTATCATTTGATTCAACACTATTTCCGGGGGAAAATAACAAAAACCATTTGACTGGCCTTATTTTGTGACCAATTCTCACTTTGATGAAAGTATTTTGAAATACAATGAATTAAATTGATAATAATTAATTGAATCTTTCGATTTTTATCATGTTAATAAAAAAAACCTTAAATTGAATAAATCTTTGAATTGGACACAAGCCTAAGACACAATAGGTACATCTTCATTATCAATGTGTATCAATTAACTCCACCGCAATGAGCAAATGAAATGGAACTCTCTAGAAACTTCAATCCATATGGTTTATTCTTTGAGAAATTATTCTTTTCTGACATCTCATCAGTACCTGACCCCGGTGAAGTTCAAAAGCGACCGCTATTCGGGAGGAATCTTCTATATTTTGATGATGCAAATTGAAACCGTTCCTATAACTCCGATTAACATTGGAAGTTTTTTATTTTGACTCATTTTATTATGATGTAGGCGATCGTAATAATCTACACGAATTTAGCGATGACCAATTTTTGTATTATATACTTGGATATTTTGTAGCAACCGGTAACAACATACGAAACAATGAAATTTTTATAAAATTTAAATAGAAAAGATTGATTTTTTAGAGTCTCAAGTATCGTCTCGTACACAATTCATGCCGACTCAAGCAAACCACTAAGCTTTTATCCTTGTACTCACATTTGGAGAGTTAGAATGACCTCGATTGAAAGGCGGTCTAAATCGAATGAGAAATAATCTAGGACGAAATAACTTACATTTTAGATCTGTACAGTTTTCATTGGATGGCAGCACTTAATTAGTTAAAAATGTTTCAATTGACATATTCAGATATTTGACATGAATGTCAGCAAACAATTGAATCACACCTTATTGTTTTCACTAATTCAATATTTTCAATTCATTTAAAACAAAAGAATTTGAAAAGAGTACCTTGAATGCATTTCGGTACTATCGCACCATCATCAGCATCACGACTAAACAGAAAAGTCGTCGGTTGTCACGTAAAAATATCGGTCGGTGTAGCATCATAGCAAACGAGACAGAAAATTTGACTCGATGTTCCCGTTATCCAGATTCAATGCGTTGTTGCTCCTCTGAATAAAGTAACTTTCGTATGCGTCCAATTTGCGCGCGTCGCCTATCTCTTTCACCAGCCGTAAGTTGCTTATGTCGATATTCAAATGACCGCTGGTCAATGCATGTAATGCTAAGGCAGAGCGGTAGCCCTGTTTGTTTTTTATGCACAAACAATGTTCACGGAAACGAACTGAAATGTTACGTTTCGTTTGTCCAATGTATTCACACATACAAACGGGGCACTGAATAGCATAAATGCCAGATTTATGTAAAGAATCAATTGTGTCTTTGGTTGAACCCAACAAATTCATTATTTTGGTTTGATTTAGATAGCTTTGACAGGCTAGCATTGGTTATGGATATGGATCCAGGCGAAGGTACTTCGGATGGTCGTGTTAGGCGTAAAGCAAACAACGTCGAATTGGGAATAAAACAAGAGCCAGACGGAAAGATCATCAAGGAAGAATCGACGGATGGCTGTGAATTTGGTTTGGTTACGCGTTCAAATGAAGGATTGGCAGCGAATACGACATCCAACGTTGAATTGATGGACGAGTCCAGAGAGGATTTTATTCTGGACTTTGATTTGAATGATGTGAAAGAAGAAGTGAAATTCGAAGAAGGGAAACCAGAAGAAGGAAAAGATTCTTCAGATCCAAATTCTTGTGGTGATCAAGGTGATAAGCCAGTGAATCGCAAGAGACTCAATTCAAGTGGCAAAGGAAAAAAACGTGATTGGTCGAGAAAGAAGAACAAACGGAAGATTCCGAAGAATAAGGCGGCAAAGAAACGGAAGCAGCACAAGTGTCATGTTTGCGGTTATGTTACATCGCATAAAGGGAATTTCGCCACACACATTCGTATTCACAAAGGCGACAAGCCATACAAATGCAACGATTGTTCGAAAAATTTTGCACATAAAAGCAACTTGATTCGGCATAAGAAAATCCACAGCGGAGATAAGCTATTCGAATGCTCTGTTTGCTCCAAGTCATTCGTCCAAAAAATCCATTTAAATCGTCACTTGCGATCTCATGCCGATGAGCTTCCTTATTCTTGTTTGAAATGTGGCCAACGATTTGCCAGCGGTGAAGACATGGAATCGCATGAAAAACGCTGCAAACATCGTCGATACGAATGTTATCTCTGCGAATACAAATGTTTTGCCAAAGGCAACCTGAAAAGCCACATGCAAGCAAAACACATCGGCGAACATCGATTTCAATGTGAAATATGCGGGAATAAATTCATCCATAGAGGTGATCTCAATCAACATTTGGCCACTCATCGCAATCAATACCTATTCGAATGCAGCAAGTGTCACCTGGCATTCACAAAAGAAGAGGATAAAGCAGCACATGAAAAGATCTGCGGCCGTCGTCAGTATCAGTACATTTGCAATGTTTTCAAGATACAAACAACCAATCTACGATATCACATGCGAGTGAATCACACAGGAGAAAAGCCGTTCCATTGCAAGTGGTGCAAAGCACGTTTTTCACACAAAAGCAACGCCAACGCCCATATGAAACGGCGTCATCGTTTGATGAAATAAGGTGATATGGCAGAACTCTACGGTACTCTACGGTCATCTAGTATTATTTGAATCAAAATTATTTCATGTGCAAAATAACAAACACAATTTGACTGGCCTTTTGTGACCAATTCTTATTCTGATGACAGTATTTCGAAATACAATGTGCAAAAATTGAAAATAATAAAACCTTAAGATTTTCATCATGTCCACAATACATCTTCATTATCAATGTGAAATTAATAAAATGGAACTCTCTGAACACTTCAATCCATATGGTTTCAGAAACGATTCTTCTCTGACATCCAATCAGGACTTGACCTCGATGAAATTCAAAAGCGATCGAATCGCTATTCTGGAGGAATCTTCTATGTTTTGATGCAAATTGAATCCGTTCCCATAATTCCGATTAAAATTGATGGTTTTTTTATTTTGGCTCAAAGTTATGAAGTAAGCAACTGACCTCTTGTTCTTGTACTATACTTACTTCTGGAGAGTTGGAATGAAGTCGATCAAAAGGCAAGAGCGAACACAAAATAATCTTCTACAAAAAATTACATTTCAGATCTTTATTGAATCAGTCTATTGAAAGAACAAAGATATTGGCTTCTCAAAGTCTTAATCAACGGATGAAGTAAAAAAATTCAATTATCAGAAGGAAAAGAAAGAGTTTATTCAACAGGAATAGAACAGTTGCTATCGTCCTGAGTATTATTTTTTCGAACAGTGAATACGTTTCATGTGCTTTTCGACTTCGTACTTTCGAATGAAACACTTGTCGCACCACTTGCAATGGAACGGCTTTTCACCTGTGTGATGAACACGCTTGTGATTTCGTAGATGGCCTTTCCGCTGGTTGAAAGCTTCGCAAATGTAACATTGATACTGACGACAACGGCAGACATTTTCATGTGCAATCTTGTCATCTTCTATCGTGAACCCTCGGCGACACTTGCTGCATCCGAATGGGAATTGATCGCTATGGATAGCCAAATGTTGACTGAAATGATTTCTGTAGATGAATTTCTTCCCACATATTTCACATTGGAATCGATGTTCGCCGGTGTGTTTTGCTTGCATGTGGTCTTTCAAACAGTGTTTGGCGAAACACTTGTAGTCGCAGAGATAACATTCGTATTGGCGATGTTTGCAGCGCTTTTCATGCAATTGTTTGGCCTCTTCTCCGGCAAATCGTTGGCCACATTTCAGACAAGAGTAAGGAAGCTCATCAAAGTGAGTTCGCAAGTGAACATTCAAATGTTGTTTCTGTGCAAATGATTTGAGACAAACGTGGCATTCGAATTGCTTTTCTCCGCTGTGGGTTTTCTTGTGCCGAATCAAGTCACTTTTTTGTGCGAAGCTTTTCGAACATTCATCACATTTGTATGGCCTCTCGCCTGTGTGAATACGAATGTGTCTGATGAGACGCCATTTCTGTGATGTAACATAACCGCACACATGACACTTGTGCTCCTTTCGTTTCTTCGCCGCCTTATTCCTTGGAATAGTTCGTTTGGTCTGTTTTCTTGAACCATCGCGTCTTTTTCCCTTTACGCCCGAATTTAGTCCCTTGCGATTGACATTTGATTCGACCACTGGCTCATCATTTTGATCACCACGAGCATTTGAAACATTTTCACTCGACTCTAAGTTAGCTGATGAATCTTTCCATTTATCTGACTTCTCTTCTTCACACTTCACTTCCTCTTTCACATCATTTGAATCAAATTCATTCTCTGACTCGTCCACCAATTCAACGTTCGATGTCGCAGTCGTTGCGTCTGATGCAAATCTTTCATTCCATCCTGTCACCAAACCAAATTCATTGCCTTCCGATGGTTCCTCCTTGATTTCTGGCTCTTGTTTGATTTCCACTTCGATTTTGTTTGCTTTACGCCTTACACGACCATCCGAAGTACCTTCGCCTGGATCCATATCCATAACCAATGCCAGTCTGTCGAAAGGAAAAAAGGAAAAAACCGACGCAACAAAAATTTAATCGGACAGTTTTGATGTTTTTTCTTTTAATTGCGAACATTTTTGGTGATGAGCGCAATAAGCAATAGTAATGGAAAAAACCAATTGCACAAGACATAAGCGAAGGGAAATCAAATTGTTATAGTGAAGTAACTTCGTGTCGTTTGTGCTCAACAAATTTTAATACTTACAAATTTCGTGTATCCTACTTTTTGTGCCAAATGTTAACAAAACTGTCTGTTTGCCAATTTCTCCCGAGAATGACCGACCGAAAGTGGTTTTCGTTTCTACTACGCACCAATTATCATCTAAACGTCAACAGCTAAACGTCAACTGAAAGTGGCGTGATATTTCATTATTTGTGTCAGTGTATGTGTTTGTCTCACTGAACGAACATTGACATCTGGGGCCCCTTTTCGACTACATTCCAATACAATTGCATTCCGCTATTTTAAGCGGTATTATTCTAGAAATTATTTGTCCAATGGCAAGAAATGAAAATCACAACAAATGAAAACAGCTCCAAATCATGAATAAATATCTCAATTTAGTAGAAATCCATTTGGGATCATCATAAATCCTTCTTATGTGAATGAAATCGAATTGGAAGCTGTCACCTTCTTAGTGAGCAACACAGACTCACCTCTACACACAAACAGCATTCGATCACGCCACACTCCATCGACGAACACAGCACTTGTGTCGGTCATTCAAAGGAGAAACACACAACAACACGTACTCATTTCAATTGGCAAACGAAAAAAATACCCAAAGTAAGTGCTTGAAACATCTCTTTGCAATCTCAAAGTCAGTATTTTTGCAGAAAAAAAGAGAAATCTTCAATGAAATATTCATTGAATAGATTTTCATTAGAAAGTGTTTTATTCTCACATTCAATGTCAGACAATTTCATTTTGGTTGGAAATACTCGATTGGCTGAAATCCTTCACTATTTGCCATTTATCACCAGTTGTTCTGGTTTCTTCGATAATGTTCTACGAAAGTACAACACAGCAACCATTTTGCTTGACATTTCGGTAGACATTGTCGTACAGTGAGACGATAGTTGTTGTTTTCCATTCTCAATTTTAGTTTTTTTTTATATATTTCCAATGCACATTTAGTTCTTCCAATAAAATGAACTTCAGAACTGCCAAATCTCACTTCTCTATCACATTTTCTTTGATTGTTCGACAGATTGGCATTGGCTATGGATATGGATCCAGGCGAAGGTACTTCGGATGGTCGTGTGAAACGTAAACCAAACAGTTCTGAAGTGGAAATCAAACAAGAGCCAGACATCAAGGAGGAACCATCGGAAGGCAATGAATTTGGTTTGGTAGCACGATCGAATGAAAGATTGGAAGCAGATGCAGAGACTGCGACATCGCACATCGAATCAGTGGACGAGTCTGAATCGGATTCTGATCGCCACTTTCATTTGGATGGTGTGAAAGAGGAGGTGAAGTGTGAAGAAGAGAAGCCAGAAAAAGGGAAAGGCTTTTCAGCGCATTCAGGATCGTATGGAAATGAGCCAAATGCTCATGGTGATCAAGGTGGTGAACCAAACTTCACTTGCAAGGGACTAAATTCGGGCGCAAAGGGAAAGAGACAGGATGGATCGAGAAAGCAAAACAAACGGAATATTCCGAGGAATGAGGCGCCAAAGAAACGAACGGAGCACCAGTGTCACGTGTGTGGTTATGTTGCATCGCAGAAAGGGAATCTCACCAGACACATTCGCATTCACACAGGCGACAAGCCTCACAAATGCGAAGATTGTTCGAAAAGTTTTGCATGCAAAAGCAACATGATTCAACACAAGAAAACCCACAGCGGAGAAAAGCAATTCGAATGCCCCGTTTGTTCCAAATCATTTGCACGGAAATACAATTTGAATGTTCACTTGCGAACTCACTCTGATGATCTTCCCCTTTCTTGTCTGAAATGTGGGCAACGATTCGCTCAAGAAGAGGCCAAACAATCGCATGAAAAGCGCTGCGATCAACGTCGATTCGAATGTTATCTCTGCGAATTCAAAAATTTCCACAAAGTCAATCTGAAGAGCCACATGCACGCAAAACACACCGGCGAACATCAATTTCAATGTAAAATATGCGGGAAGAAATTCATCCAAAAGGGCCATCTCAATCAACATTTAGCCACCCATCGCGATCAATTCCCATTCAGATGTTTCAAGTGTCGCCGGGGATTCACAATGGAAGAGGATAAAACAGCTCATGAAAAGATCTGCGGCCATCGTCAGCATCAGTGTTACATTTGCAAAGTTTTCAAGATACATACAACCAATCTACGAAATCACATGCGAGCGCATCACACGCGCAAATAGCCGTTCCATTGCAAATCGTGCAAGGCGCGTTTTGTACAGAAAATCAACGCCATTATTCATATGAAAAGGCGTCATCGTTCAACGAAATAAGGAGGCATTACAGTATTCTACGGTCCAGTAGTATCATTTGAATCAAAACTATTCCATGAAGACGACAACAAACACCGAACTTCTAGCTTCATTTCGGTATAAATTCCAACATTGATCAAAATATCCAGAAGTACAACGATTTTAATCGAAAATAAATTAATTTCATCGTTTGTAGGAAGAAAAACATGAGATTGAATAAAATTTCGAATTTAAAATAATCGACACCCTGCTATCTTCATGTCAGTGAGGAATTACCTTCAGAGCAACGGGCAAATAAAATGAAACTCTCCAAATATTCCAATCAATGTGGTGTTTTATTTGAGAAATGATTCTTCATTAGTATCCAATTAGTGTGATGAAACTCAAAAGCTATCGAATCGTTATTCTGAAAGAATCTTCTACATTTTGATATTCGCCTGGATCCATATCCATAACCAATGCCAACCTGTCGAATAATTGAAAAATTTGAAGAAGAAATAAAATCTGATAAGTGATTTGTTATTTGTTATTTGTTATTTGGAACATGTTTACTGAAGACGAAAATTGCAAGGGAAAGTCAAATGTAAAAGCAAAGAAAAGTAGAACAACGTCAATGTCATGACTGAATGGCACAAACACGTACAATGTGTGTGTTGCAGAGATACATTCGTTGAAACATCCATTTTTTTAAATTAAAACTCTTTGCCTTAAAATTAATGACAGTGCTGTTGAGAACATTTTAATACTTACAAATATCGTGTGTCCGACTTTTCGTTCAAAATGTGAATGAAAATGTCTGCTTGCTAATTTCTCTTACAATTGACCGACCGAAAGAGGTTTTAGTTCCCAGTGCGCATCAATTGACACTGAAGTCAACTAAATGTGGCGTGATATTTCGTTGTGTGCATGTGTACGTTGCAATGAATGTGGTCTATCCCATTTCATTTCATTGCTGTCATCATTTGACTTTCCAACAATTATGTGCAAACATGAATTCCAGTCGGAATGACAATTGAACATTTGGAACGAAGCGAATAAAATCGAATTGGAAGCTGTCACTTTCATATAGTAAGCCACACAGTCTCACTTATACACACAAACTGCGTTCGATCACGTCACACTCAATCGACGTACGCAGCACTTTGTGTCGATCATTCAAAGGAAAACGACATCACGTACTCATTTCAATTGGCGAACGAAAAAACCCAAAGTAAGTGCTCAAAATATTTGTTTGCAATTTTAAACTCAGGATTTTCCGATAAAAAAAGAAGATTCTTCATTGAATCAATTTCAATTAAAAAGAGTTTTAGTGTCACATTCAATGTAAGCAGACAATTTCATTGTTTCCGATGCGATTGTGTCATTCAATTTTCGTACAAAGTCCGAAGTTCCTTCTTCGTAAACATTTTCATTTTGGTTGGAAATATTCGATTAGCTTTACTCACTATTTGCTATTTATCACCAGTTGTTGTGGTTTCTTTGATGATTTTCTACGAAAGAACAACACAACGATTATTTTCCTTGACATTTCCGCTGGCACTGTCATACAGTGAGACGGAAGCTGTGGGTTTTTCAGTCTCAATTTAAGTTTTTTTTTAGGTTTAGTACCTCAGGCGAAGGTACATCGGATGGTCGTGTAAGGCGCAAAACAAACAATATCGAAATGGAAATCAAACAAGAGCCCGGCATCAAAGAAGAACCTTTGGATGGCAGTGAACTTGGTTTGGTGACACGATCGAATGAAAGATTTGCAGCAGATGCAGAGACTGCGACATCTAACATCGAATTGGTGGAAGAGTCTGAATGGGATTCTGATCTCGACTTTGACTTGAATGCTGTGAAAAAGGAAGTGAAGTGTGAAGAAGGAAAAGGAAAAAATTCTTCAGCGGAATCGGGGTCAGAAGAAGAAGAACCAGCTAGGCATGACGATCCAGATGTTGAACCAGCGGTCCAATCAAACGCCATTCGCAAGCGAAAAAATTCGGACAGTAAAGCCAAGAAACACGATAGATCAAGAAAGCAAAACAATCGAAAGATTCCAAGGAATAAGGCAGCAAGCAAACGAACGGAGCACAAATGTCGTGTTTGTGGTTATGTTACACCGGAAAAAGGGAATCTCACCAGACACATTCGCATTCACACAGGCGAGAAGCCTCACAAATGCGAATATTGTTCGAAAAGTTTCGCATGCAAAAGCAACATGATTCGGCACAAGAAGATCCACAGCGGAGAAAAGCGATTTGAATGCTCCGTTTGTACCAAATCATTCTCATGGAAACATCATTTGAATGGTCACTTGCGAACTCATGCCGAAGATCTTCCCCTTTCTTGTTTGAAATGTGGTCAACGATTTGCTGAAGAAGAGGTCAAGCAATCGCATGAAAATTTATGCAAATATCGTCGATATGAATGTTATCTCTGTGAATACAAATGTTCTGCCAAAACTCAACTGAAACACCACATGCAAGCAAAACACACCGGCGACCATCGATACGAATGTGAAATATGCGGTAAGAAATTCATTCAAAAGGCTAATCTCAATCAATATACATTTGGCCGTCCATCGTGATCAATTCCCATTCAAATGCAACAAGTGTCGCCGAGAATTCGCAAGACAAGAGTGCCAAGTCTTTTGTTCAAAAACGCAATGCCGAAAAGCACATGAGGCGTATTCACCATTCTAAAATATAATAAAGCGAACACTTGAATTCAATTCCATTATTCATTACTTTTGAAGACAAAATAGCTTTCAGATTTGAAGCAACTTTTTTTTACTTCGCTGATTCAATAAAGAATCCAAATTAAGTTCATTGCGTGTTTTGCTTTGATAAATTCATCCTAATCGAGTCTATTCCAGCTCTTCCAATGTGAGTAATAGAACGAAAGTAGTTCAGTTTCTTGCTTGATTCGTTTATTGATTCGAAAACCTATTTCAATTAACTACGACGAAACCACTGCAAACAAATCCATGGGAAATGTGTCCGCTTTGATTTTGCTCATAGAGAATGTTGAGTACTGCTACTGCGACGAAGATACTAATACGTTACCTCGATCCCTTGCTATAAATTAATCGAATTGAACCCGCAAAGTGTTGAAATTTCCATCGGAATAGGCGATTCGATAGTTTTTGAATTTCATAATGTGTCCTAAATGTACACTCTTGGACAAAATTGAGAGGACAACCTCGAAAAAAATTTACCAATGATTATTTCATGAACGTAATTAGTTTTTATTATTCAAACATTTGTTCTATTTATTGCAAAATAATGTGAACTAAGAGAATCTAGACGAATTTCGGTGAATAGTTTTGAATTTCGAGATTTTTTCTCAAAAATGTTAACCGATGTCAATTTAGCATGGTCCCTTATTCTGGACACTTCAATTGTGTTCAATGATGGTTTCAAGTTCAAATATTCATTCAATTTACAATTTTTACTTGATGAAAAAAATTCTATTTTCTTCTTCTATAAAAACATTTGTATTCGCTGAGATATTCAGCAAATCGTTGGCCACATTGCAAACAAGAATAAGGAAGATCATCAGCATGAGTTCGAAAATGACGATTCAAAACATCTCCTCGTGCAAATGACTTGGAACAAATGGGACATTCAAATGGTTTTTCTCCGCTGTGGATTATCTTGTGCCGAATCAAGTCGCATTTTTGTGTAAAAGCTTTCGTACATTCAACGCATTTGTATGGCCTATCGCCTATATGAATACGAATGTGATTGGTGAGAATACTTCTTTGCGATGCAACAAAACCACTCCCATTTGTTCGCCACCTTATTCCTTCGAATACTTCGTTTGTTTTGTTTTCTCGACCAATCGCGTCTCTTTCTTTTTACGCTTGAATTGAGTCTTTTGCGACTGGTGTTTGATTTCACCATTGGCTCATCATTTTGATTGCCATGAGCATTTGGCTTATTTCCATTCGAATCCGAATTTGCTGAAGAATTTTTTCCTTTTTGAGGCTTCTCTTCTTCACACTTCACTTCCTCTTTTACACCATTCAATCCAAAATCGAGAACAAAATCCGATTCAGACTCTTCAATCAATTCGAATTCCATCAGAATCAAGTATTGCTTGGATATTAGAGAAGAGCCTCAGATGAAGAACCGCACCAAATTAACGAGAAAAGTACTATTGGGTCAATTCGAAAGTTTCCGCCGTTTTTTTTGTCTAAAAATACATTTATTGCAAAATAAATTGAAAATGTACATTAACCAATGTATTCGCCATCGTTAGCTATGACTTCCCGCCATCTTTCTGGCAGCTTGTGGATTCCTCGCTTGAAGAAGTCCTCGTCTTTTGAGGTTATGTAGTCATCAACCCATTTTCGCACTTCTTCCTCATTTTGAAAGCGTACTTCAGACAGGGCAATCTGCATTGATCGAAATAGATAGTAGTCGCAAGGAGCAAGGTCTGGAGAGTACGCGGGCTGATCAAGCCGATCCCAACCGAGCTGCTCTACCTCATTTTTAACGATTGTTGCACGATGTGGCTTAGCGTTGTCATCGTGGAACAAAACATTGTGGTGTTTTCGAGCTATTAATGGCCGTTTTTCATCCAATGCATGAGCCAAATCATTCAATTAGCGTCGATAGCGTTCCTTATTAATCGTTTCATCTGGTTTTAGCAGCTCATAATACACGACTCCTTTCATATCCCACCAGATGTACAGCATAACCTTATCGCAATGAATATCTCGTTTTGACTGGGATGGCGCCGGTTGGCCGGGATCAACATACGCTACTTTAAGCTTGGGGTTTTCGTAATGAACCCACTTTTCATCGCCGGTAACAATCCGATACAAAAAACTGTTTCTTTTGTGCTCTGCAAGATGTTTTGTGCATATTGCGATTCGTGCTTGAAGTTGCTCTTCAGAAAATTGATGTGGAACCCATTTTCCCAGCTTCCGAATCTTTTTCATGGCGTGCAAATGTCTGAAAATGGTTGTTTGGCCGACGTTTAACTGCAATGCAAGTTCTTTTTGCGTTTGGGTTGGGTCTTCATCCAATAATGATTGCAAATCGACATCTTCAATCGCTTCTGGCCGACCTGAACGTTCTTTGTCTTTCAAGTCAAAATCACCACTTTTGAATCGATGAAACCATTCTCTGCAGCTTCGTTCCGATGGAGCTTGCTCGCCATAAGTATCTGACAGCATTCGATGAGCTTCAGCGGCAGTTTTCTTCGAATCAAATAAGAAAAGAAGGGCCCCTCGAAAAAACACCTTATCTCGATCCATTTTCAATCGATTCAAAAACAATGACGCAGAACGAAAAATGAATCTTTCTGCTCTGAGTTAGATTGCTAAATGTCACATCTACAAAATGCAATTGGATTCACTTGTCAAGCTACGCTCAGTTACAAGTGGCGACATTTAAATGTCAGCGGCGGAAACTTTCGAATTGACCCAATATTTCAGTTACTCTAGAGTATATTTTACATTGACATGAAGATGGATTGTGTCCAATGATAGTTTCAAATTCAAAGTTTCATTCAATTTAATATTTTTTTCGCTTAAGAACAAAAAATTTGGAGATTCTATTGATTTTCAATTCATTGTGTTTTGGAATTTTTCAACTTAGTTAGAATCGAGTGCAAATGATTTGGAACAAACAAAACATTCGAATTGCTTTTCTCCGCTGTGGATTTTCTTGTGCAGATTTAAAACGTCTTTTCGTGCAAAACTTTTGGAACATTCATCGCATTTGTATGGCCTCTCGCCTGTGTGAGTACGAATGTGTGTGGTAAGATTCCATTTATGTGATGTAACATAACCACACACATGACATTTGTGCTCCGTTCGTTTCTTCGCCACCTTATTTCTCGGTATCTTTCGTTTGTTTTGTTTTCTCGATCCATCACGTTTCTTTCCTTCACCACTCAACTTGAGTTGCTCGCGCTTGACGTTTGATTGGACCATTGGTGCATTATTTGGATCATCACGAGCATTTGGTTTACTTTGATCTGAACCTGATTTCGCTGATGAATCTTTTCCTTTGTCTGGCTCCTCTTCTTCACACTTCATTTCCCCTTTCACATCATCTGAATTAAAGTCGAGAACAAACCCGATCCCATCCAGACTCTTCCACCAATTCGATGTTGGATATCACAGTAGCTGCATCCGCCGCAAATCTTTTATTCGATCGTGTCACCAAACCAAGTTTATTGGCATCCGATGGTTCCTCTTTGATATCGGGCTCTTGTTTGTTCTCCACTTCAGAACTGTTTGCTTTACGCTTACACGACCATCTGATGTACCTTCGCCTGGATCTATATCCATAACATTTGAAGCAGAAATGAAAGAAGATTTATTATTTAGGGCATGATTACTGAAGAATACAATTGCAAGGGAAAGTCAAATGTCAAAGCAAAGAAAAGTAGAACAACGTCAATGTTATGACTTAATCGCGCAAACACCTACAATGCAAAATCTAGCAATGTATTTTTTTCACAATTCATTTTTTATAAAAATTCTCTGCCTTGAAATTAATGGCATTGATGTTGAAAACATTTTGATACTTACGAATATCGTGTAAATAAAAAAAAATGTGAATGAAAATGTCTGCTTACTAAATTCTCTTACAATTGACCGACCGAAAGAGGTTTTCGTTTCTAGTGCGCATCAATTGACACCGAAGGTTGACGTCAACTAAATGTGGCGTGATATTTCGTTGTGTGCATGTGTACGTTGCAATGAATGTGGTCTATCCCATTTCATTCCATTGTTGTCATCATTTGACGTTTCCAACATTTATGTATAATTCATTTGTTTCTTGTGAAAAATAATAATCAAAACAATGAAAACACCTCCAAATCATAAATAGTTTGCTCAATTGACTAGAAATCTCTTTGGAATGGTTAAACAAAGCAGAATGACGAACTCTGTTTCGGAATGTAAACTTGAATTCCAGTCGGAATGACAGTTGAACATTTGGAACGACGCGAATTAAATCGAATTGGAAGCTGTCACCTAAGCAACACAGACTCACCTCAACACAAAAACAGCGTTCAATCACGCCATACTCAGTCGACGAATACAGCACTTTGTGTCGTTCATTCAAAATAGAAACACACCACATCACGTACTCATTTCAATTGGCGAACGAAAAAAACCAAAGTAAGTGCCCAAAATATCTGTTTGCAATCTCAAAGTCAGTATTTTTGCAGGAAAAAATGAGAAATCTTCAATGAAATATTCATTGAATTAATTTTCATTAGAAAGTGTTCTATATTCACATTCAATGTAGTCAGGAAATTTCATTGTTTCCGATGCGAGTGTGTCATTCGATTTTTATAGCAAATCCAAAGTTCTTTCTTTGTAAACATTTTCATTTTGGTTATAAATACTCGATTGGCTAAAATCCTTCACTATTTGCTATTTATCACCAGTTGTTGTGGTTTATTTGATGATGTTCTACGAAAGAACAGCAAAGCGACCATTTTGCTTGACATTTCAAAAACCATGGCCCATTATGAACTCAGGCCGGCCTAAACTATCGCCTGGCACTTATTTGGCTGATGTGCCAGATTAAAAACAAGACCGCAGAAAAAAAGTTAATTACTTATTGAGATGTAACTATTAAGTTTTAGGGGCGTTCATGTATAACATTTGCCTGAATAAATAAATAAATAAATAAATAAATTTCGACAAACATGGTCATACAGTGAGACTATTGCTGTGTGTTTTTCAGTTTCAATTTTAGTTTTTTTTATATTTTTAATGCACATTTAATTCTTCCTAACAAAAGAACTTCTGAACTGTCAAATCTCATTTCTACTTCATATTTTCGATTGATTGACAGATTGGCATTGGCTATGGATATGGATCCAGGCGAAGGTACATCGGATGGTCGTGTAATGCGTAAAGCAAACAGTTTTGAAGTAGAAATCAAACAAGAGCCAGACATCAAAGAGGAACCATCGGATGGCGGTGCATTCGGTTTGGTGATACGTTTGAATGATGGACTAGAAGCAGATAAAATGACATCAAACGTTGAATTGACGGACGAGTCCGAAACGAATTTTGATCTCGACATTGATTTGAATGATGTGAAAGGGGAAGTGAAGTGTGAAGAAGGGAAGCCAGCAAAAGAAAAGGATTCTTCAGCGGATTTGGGCTCGAATGGAAATGAATCAAATGCCCGTCACAGTCAAGGTAATGAGCCGATGGTCGAACCAAACGTCAGTCATAAAATAATCAATTCGACAGGTGAAGGAAAGAGACACAATGGATCAAGAAAACAGAACAAACAGAAGATTCCGAGGAATAAGGCGGCGAAGAAACGAACGGAGCAAAAGTGTCATGTTTGCGGTTATGTTACATCGCATAAAGGGAATTTTGCCACACACATTCGCATTCACACAGGCGAGAAGCCTCATAAATGCAATGATTGTTCGAAAAGTTTCGCACAAAAAATCGACTTGATTCGCCACAAGAAAATCCACAGCGGAGAAAAGCAATTCGAATGTTCCGTTTGTTCCAAGTCATTTGCACGAAAATGCAGCTTAAATGTTCACTTGCGAACTCACACTAATGATCTTCCGCATTCTTGTTTGAAATGTGGTCAACGATTTGCTGAAAAAGAGGTCAAACAATGGCATGAATATCGATGCAAACAACGTCGATACGAATGTTATCTCTGCGACTACTATTGTTTTGCCAAACACTGTTTGAAAGACCAAATGCAAGCAAAACACACCGGCGAATATCGATTCAAATGTGAAATATGTGGGAAGAAATTCATCTACAGAAATCATTTCAGTCAACATTTGGCTACCCATCGCGATCAATTCCCATTCGGATGCAGCAAGTGTCGCCGAGGATTCGCAATAGAAGATGACAAGATTGCACATGAAAATGTCTGCCGGCATCGTCAGTATCAATGTTACATTTGCAAAGATTTCAAGATACAAAGGACCAATCTTCAAAATCACATGCGTGTTCATCACACGGGTGAAAAGCCGTTCCATTGCAGGTGGTGTGCCAAGTGTTTCAGTCGAAAGGACGAAGCCGAATCGCACATGAAACGTATTCATCATTCCAAAAAATGATGCTGCTGGCAATGCCCCACAATTGTTTCATTCCATTTTCAATTTTATAGATGATTTTTACTCATTAGAATTTCAAAAAGTCGATAACTTTGTTCTTTCATTAGCACTCTTGCAACACAATTGAAACTAATCTGTTCGAATGATAATTTGCTTAACCACATTGAATTGTTCACCAACTATTTTCTTTGCTGATTCAATAAAGATTCAAAATGAAATTCATTGTGCATTTGCTCTGGCAGTTGCCATCCAATCGATCCTATTCCAGTTCTTCAGATGCAAGTATAACAAGAGATGCTCTACTCCAAAACACTGACAACAAAGTAATTTTTAAAAATCAAATGAATTTTTTCATGAAAAGAGATAATCTAAGAGCAGCCGTGGGACCTGGGAAACGCATATCCGTTTATTAAATCCAAGGGAAGAATTTACATCACCGCTTGATACACCAAAATACCGCGTGTATAGTGAACGGGCTTAGTCCAATGGGCTATCTTTGAAAGATGTAGATTATTCCGATCGTCAATTGCCTACTTCATAGGCTTGGGCTAATTGAACATCGAATCAATTCGATTGAGCTTTTCGACCGTTAGCTGGGAACGAATTCAATTTGAAAATCAAAGTAAATATCAACTTCCTCATAGTTTCCTTCAGAATATCAATTCGGTAGGCTTTGTATTGGGTAAGAATCAAGTATTGCTTGGATATTAGAGAAGAGCCTCAGATGAAGAACCACACCAAATTAACGAGAAAAGTACTATTTTAGTTGCTCTAGAGTAAATTTTACATTGACATGAAGATGGATTGTGTCCAATTATAGTTTCAAATTCAAACTTTTATTCAATTTAATAATTTTTTCGCTTAACAACAATAAATTTAAAGAATCAACTCCGAAATCAAGGGAGTCTGTTGTTTTCCATGTGGAATACTGTTGATTCGAATGAAATTAGATGGCCGTGACAAATGGTGAAGTCTCCTTATTTCGCTGATAGATGACGCCTTTTCATGTGGTCGTTGGCGTTGCCTTTGTGTGAAAAACACGCTTTGCACCACTTACACTGGAACGGCTTCTCCCCCGTGTGATTCACTCGCATGTGATATCGTAGATTGGTTATTTTCGACTTGAAAACATTGCAAATGTGACATTGATACTGACGACGGCCACAGATCTTCTCATGTGCTGTTTTATCCTCTTCCATTGCGAATCCTCGGCGACACTTGATGCACCGAAATGGGAATTGATCGCAATGGGTGGCCAAATGTTGATTGAGATGACCTTTGTGGATGATTTTCTTTCCGCATATTTCACATTGAAATTGAAGTTCACCGGTGTGTTTTGCTTGCATGTGGCGTTTCAGGTGGCTTTTGGCAAAACATTTGAATTTGCAAGCATAACATTCGAATCGACATTGTATGCAGCGATTTTCATGCGATTGTTTGGCCTTATCTTCGAAAAATCGTTGGCCACATTTCAGACCAGAATGTGGAAGCTCATCAATGTGAGTTCGCAAGTGACGAGTTAAATTGTTTTTTTGGACAAATGATTTCAAACAAACAGAGCATTCGAATTGCTTTTCTCCGCTGTGGATTTTCTTGTGGCGAATCAAGTCGATTTTTTGTGCGAAACTTTTCGAACAATCATTGCATTTGTGAGGCTTCTCGCCTGTGTGAATGCGAATGTGTCTGGTGAGATTCCCTTTTAGCGATGTAACATAACCGCAAACATGACACTTGTGTACCGTTCGTTTCTTCGCCGCCTTATTCATCGGAATCTTACGTTTGTTTTCCTTTCTCGATCCATAGCGTTTCTTTGCTTTACTGTCCGAATTAAGTCTCTTGCGGCTGACATTTGATTTGACCACTGGTTCAACATCTGGATCGTCATGAGCATTTGGTTCATGTCCATTCGAGCCCAAATCCACCGAAGAATCTTTTCCTTTTTCTGAGATCTCTTCTTCACACTTCACTACCTCTTTCACATTATTCAAATCAAATTCGAGATCGAAATCCGATTCAGACTCTCCCATCAATTCAATGTTCGATGTTGCTGCATCTGCTTCAATTCTTTCATTCAAACGTGTCACCAAACCAAATTCACTGCCACCCAACGGTTCTTCCTTGATGTCTGGCTCTTGTTTGATCTCCACTTCAGAACTGTTTGCTTTACGCATTACACGACCATCCGAAGTACCTTCGCCTGGATCCATTTCCATAACCAATGCCAATCTGTCAAACAACCGAACAAAATATGATAAAGAAGTGAGATTTGACAGTTCGAAAGGTTTTTCCATTGGGAACATTTTTGCTGTTTTTTTTTCATTACTTTTACATGGGTGAAATGGTCAAAGGGGGTACGGAAAAATGACATTAAAATTTCGAGAAAATTGTTATATTCTTTCCCATGGGCAACTTTTGCAAAAGAACAAAGAGTCAACCAATCTGATACGGTGCAGATTAACGCAAAACAAAGCACGAACAGCGTCAATGGCACATGTCGCGTTACACAAATTAAAACATTGAACAGATATGCCCGATTCGTTTTGGATTCATGGAATTGATGTTAAAAACTTTTGAATACTTACAAATATCGTGTGTCCAACTGTTCGTGCAAAACGTGAATAAAAATGTCCGCTTATTTCACCTACAAATGACTAACAAAAATTGGTTTTTGTTTCTAATGCACACGAATCAATACTGGAGCTGAACGTCAACTTAGTATGGCCTGATATTTGGTTGTGTGTATGTGTGCGTTACAATGAACATGTTTGACATGTGGTTTTTCATTATTTCATTCCAATAGAATTCCATTGCACATTTTAAAGTTGGCAACATTCATGTGGAATTCAATCCAGACGCATTCACCGCCAGAAAAATAATTAAACAAATGAAAGCAGCACCAAATCAAGTAATTTTCTTTAAACCATAAAGTGAATTTAGTGTAAATATAGCTGTGCCAAATTCGTATCTTAATAACCATCCTAATAATTTTG